TCACATTCGCAATTTTTGATTGCGATTGGACTGTAGACTTGATCATGCTTTGGGTTAGAGCTTGTGCGCGTAATGTGATGATGTTGTTCATGTAGGAAAAAGCAACGGTGATGGAAGCTAGATGCCATGCCTGCGTCATCAGTTTCCTGATTCCTGCTCTCGAGCACAAGGTCGAATCTTGCAAAGCTTTAGCTCACCGCTCGCTCATCGGATCATTCGGATTGGAAGAAGCAAAGGCTGCAAGCCAGAAATAAGGACCTGGACGGGACATGACGCGTTCGATTGATGGACCAGCTGCTGGAGATGTGAGCCACATTGCCGAAGAGTGGATCACATTGCTCGAGGCGAGTTCTAAAGTACATTTGAAGGAATCTGGTCACTTGATAGAAGTCTGACGTGACAAACAGATGGATGAAGAATTTGCGCTTCGGTCGGAAGCGAGTGTGCAGTGCAGTAGACATGCTAACATTGTGCGCATTTGGCGTTTGTGGCGCAACACGCCGCGGGTCGGCCTCCTTCTCCCATCGTTGGCCCGAATCAGCAAGGGCGAGAAGAAGTAACATGGAACAATCTCAGCCTCGACTTTGCAAGCTGAGTTCGAGTCAAGCGATTTAGTCTCATCTCCTTTTCTCCTTTCCCTTCCTCGCGCTCGACGATTTGTACTTTTCCTCCGCAACATACAAATCGCCCTCAACTTCTCTTTGCAAACCCATCAAAGTCTTGCCAAGGGCTCCAGAAGTGCCAGCTGCTCCTTTCAAAATAGCAATCGGAACGGCTCGTATGACTGGCTTGCTAGAGCCTGACGATCCGCTTTCGCGCTCGTGCACCTCCATAGGAATCGCCAGGATGGTCTTCGCTGCAGAAGAAAAGCCTTTCGAGAGACCACCGTATGCTTCCGATAGCGCTTGCCGCAGATCTTCGGGAGCTTCGGCGTATCGACTGATCGGCGCCGATTTGTCTTCTGGTGGACTGAGAGTGATGACCGAGCTGGACAGCGCATCCGTCGCGTCCTCTCCCTCCTCGAAAAAGCTGTCAGCAGGGGCCGCGTTTGCTTGATCCACTGTCGTTGTTCGGAATACCGTCTCGGAATCCGCCGTTGAACCTCCAAGCATCTGTTCTGCTCGCTCGAGAATGACCTGCGTCCCAGTGGCGAGCTTGGAACCTAGCTTGAGCGCTTCCAGAGCAGTCGTTTTGGCAAAGCTAGCAGCACCTTTTTGCAATCCGCGCGCGAGACGCCCATCGCGCTGATACTGCTCAATGGGCAGCAGGATCAGATCTGCAACACCCGCTCCTAAATTGACCACGCTCCGGACCGGAGCAATTCCAGACAAAACGTCCGCCAACTGATTAGCTTTGACGTCGGGCGTCCATATGTCGTTCAACGTGTCGAAGAAGCGAGGCCAGCCGGTGATACCTCGTAGAGTAACATGACGCAGGGTCATCTCTGCTCCATCAAAGTGGAAGAAATTCATCATCTCGATTGTCTTGCCCGCACGCAGAAGACCGTAATCTACGCGCTTCGGCTTATAATCCAGCTTCAGGCGAATGGGATAGATCTCGGCGTGCTCTGACAAGGAGAGAATGATGGATTATTAGGAGAGCAACGACTGATGTCCTACTTGTGCGACAAGACTCACGAATAAAGGGCTCGCTTGACGCAGTCGATTCATTAGCAGGAGCTGCCCCAGCTTCAATCGGTTTCCAGGCGAAAAACTTTTTGAAGAAATCTAGAGCGTCTTGGTCCACGTGTAATCTCAGGGGAGCAAGCTTCGCTCGCACCCTAGCCTCTTCCTTGGTGGACCTTGGCGCTTCTTGTTCTGGCGCTTTGAAGCCGCCTTCCAGGGACCTTACATTGCGCACTTCCAATCGGAGCATACGGGAGTCTGCGTGCTCTCGATGCGCCTCAGTCTTGATCTGCATCTTAGTGAGAAAGGTGTTCCAAGTAGAGGTCTTGATGTTATCCAAGATTTGCAGCATGCGTGCATTGACGGCAAGGCGAGATGCCAAAGGGGATCGATGCCCATACGCATCATATTCAGCCTCAATGCCCCGCACCTCAATGTCGATCATGGAATGACGAGAACGCTTCAACTTGCCGCGCGGTTTCGCGCTGTTGCCAGATTTAGCGCCATCAGCTCCCTTGGCAGCTGGGAAAGCTTCCCAAGCACTCGTGTCGAAAGACGTCTCAAGACGATCGTCGACTTGGTCGTCCAGTGTCTGAATGGCGGCGTCAGCATCAAGCTCATGCAGCGGCGCGGAAGGTGCTAGCAAGATCGAATCGAACAAGCTTCCAGCTGCATCCTCAACACTATCGTCAGGAGTCTGGCCTTCATCGAGCATCTGCTTGATCTTTTGTAGTCGCTTGCGAACGCGTCTGACTTCTGCTTCGATGGCTGCCTCGCTCGACGGTCGATCGTATCCAGAGAAGAGACGCAAGCTTACGTCGCAATCGTCGACGCGGACGCGCACGGAGCTTGCAAAAGCTCTGTACACGTGAGGGACGTGCGTTAGCATGCTTTCAAGGTCACACAATACAAGACATTGAGAAGCGTCTTGAGCACATCGGCGTGACTCACAAGAGTGGCATGCCTTGTTTAGGGCTCAGGTTCGGGTCGTTGAAATAATCAAGCACGGGTCTGATACCTCGAGCATCGAGTGCACGTGCAGTGACAGCTTCGTTCTGGAAGAGTATTGAGGTATCGCCCGATGTCGGAGATACTACCTTCTCAACAGTCTCGAGAGACGCCTCGCTCAGCAAGTCGTCGTCGTCTTGCAAGGCGGTAGCGACATATTCTGGTGAGCGCGCACGAACGCCCAAGAAACCAGCGTTTCGCGGCACATCATCATCCACGAGATCTGCAGCAGAGTCGACAAAAGGCCCTTGCTCCCGCCGCAGAAAAGCGTCCTGATCGAGGCTTGCAAGTAGATCCTGCGAGTCGTTGCTATCGGATCCAGCGCTTCCGGGTGTGGCTGAGCCGGATGGGCGCGCCATCTCACGTAGAATCTGACCTTCGTGACGAACTGGTGATGTTTCTTTGTTGACTGGCTCAGTAGACGCAATGTGCAGCGCTTCGACCAGGCATGTCACAATACTGAGCGTGTCTGCGCACATTGTGACGTCCAAGCGCGCGACTCCGGACCTCACGTCAACCTCAGGTCTAGTGAGAGAGCTGAGTGTGACCGACCCACGCAGCTCACGTAGGTTGGCCAAGCTGGCAAAACCTCGCGAGCGCCAATGCTCGGTCGGGGTCCGAGGTCTTTGGTTTCCTCCGGGGCGCTCAAGGCTTTTTTCAGTGATCAAAGCTCTGACGTCGCAGAGGGCATACTTGACGTTGGTCCGAGGAGCGTAGGGCGAAAGCTTCGTCTTGACCACGACATCACCGAGGACGAGCGCTGCTTCTGCAGGCACTTGATGAGCTGATGTTGTCTTGGAGATCTCCACCGCCTCAGGCCGCTCAGAGAGCGCAGCTCGCGTCAAGATGAGGATGGAAGCGCCCTGCACGCGCACAGAAAGCCGCGTCATTTCATTGGGCTCCACGTGCTCAAAGGCGCCCTCAGGAGAGCGCGCAAACTTTTGAAGGTCTGCCAAGAAGACAAGATCGGTAGGTGGGCACGCGACCAGCGTAAAATCCCGGAGTACAACATCTACCTTGGACTCTCGGTAGCTAGTACCCTCCTCTGCGAGAGATAGCACGTGGACGGAGATCATGGAGGTCGCCGAATTGGTGAGCTCTGCTGGTAAGGTGCGAGTAAGTACCGCTCTTCTACTCAACCCGTCAAAGCGGTCGACTGCCACCGATGAGACCCTTAAATTTGAGAGTGTCGAGAGGGCTCCATGGGAAGGATCTACCCTGAGATAGAGATCCAAGACGCGTGCGTTCAAGGCTTGCTGCCTGGCATTTCCTGTTTCTGCTTCAACGGGTAGATTGAGGACGAGAGATGTCTGAGCCACTTTGAGCTCGAACTTTTTGGAGCCTTTCGAGCGGGCTCTTGGCTGATTTGCGGTCGTGCCCGATTCAGAGCTTCCAGAAGCACCAGACTGGCCCACTGCAGCGCCAAAGAAGCGGGAACCTAAGATCCGAAGCGCATCTGCGCCTGAGCCGTCGGGACCGTCCCACTGAGTGCTTTCGCCAAGACTTGAGGACCATTGACTCAGATCGTCCAGGAGAAGGACCAAGCTGTCAAATACAGGTTTGGTCAGGTAACCCTCGATGCTCGGTACAACGACGTCGATGACGGAAGATTTCGAGGCACTCGGCTGCTGTACACTGATTCGCATTGGCTGTGAAATGTCGGGCTTTGTCGATCCCTGAGCACGCTCGCAGTCGTCGCCCAGTCTGCCAATGCTCAGGAGCATCGTGGCTTGTGCCTCGGACGGGGCCATGACGAACGTCACGAGGTGGCCGATAGTGCATTGCGCCAAGTCGTGATACTCCGTTCTCATTCCCGAATCTCGCTCCGGCTGGTCCCTCGGCTGTGCATGGTTTTGCGCAAAGGCAGCATCACTAGCTGCGTGGTTCGCTGGTGCTTGCGCATTGATGTCATGGATATCCAAGGTGAGTAGACCCGCTCGGAGCGGTATGCCAGCGTCGAGCGGTTCCGCGTTTCCCGATGGGACTCGTAAGCTCACGCGAAAGATCTGGCAATTCAGACCGAAATGGGGTCGCCTTTGGTCGCTCGACACGTTTGGAATGCGGTCGCTGCTGGGACTTGGGGGCTGCAAAGTAGCAATGCTAAGTCCAAGGTCTTCTTGCATAGTGTCATCCGAGCCTTTCGAGGCTTGGGTGTGTACGGCAACTATGCGAAAGAGGTGCCCAAGCCTACCCGCAAGTGACAAATCCGCAAAGAGGTGAATCGGTGCGAGAGTGACCCTGACGTCTAAGCCGGACACCTTTGCCTGTATAGCAGGCACAGGAGCAGATCGAGTTTCCGATAAGATCCTCTGGTTAGCAAATGTCACTTGACTCTGCGTGTTCCGTCGACCAGGTCGCAACTTCCAAGCTCGGTCGCCCCAGCTCGTGCGCCAGAATGGATTGCGATGTTTCGGCTCTTCATGACGACTTTCTGAGCTGCGCCAATCGAGCGTGTCAATCGAGAGGTTGTGCCTCATCGTGCTTGGCGCAGACTCAGAAACGTCTCCTCCTGCTGTGCTGCCTGAGCTGCCTGAGGGCACCTCATATTGGTGCTGAAGGGCAAGGTCTACCAGCAATAAAGGAACGATACAAGCAGGGCTGTGTCCCCGACTTTGCGCAGCCCTCCATAAAGATGGGGAAAGATGCTCGCTTGCCATCAAGTCCCCAGCAGCAATCTCCGCCTCGTCAGTGTTGGGGGCGAGAGAAACGGCAACGTCGGACACGTGAAGTCGGACATGCCCAATGAACGGGTGTGCGCGGTTAGGTCTCTGCCAATAGCTGTCTAGCGTCGAGGCAAACTCTTGGCGATCTGCAGCGCCCAACCCATCTGGAGACTCGTAAGCGCAAATCCACTGCACGTGCGGCACTTTTACAGACACTTGAAGCCCTTGACTGTTCGATGGCTTAGTCGGCGGCCGCTGCTGTGCTTGGGATGTAGCAGCGAAGGCAGTCCTCATCTGGCTGCACAGGACCAACAGAGAGGCAAGCTGCAGGGGGCTCGTGTATGCGGCTAGTGTGCCGAAACGCAAGCTGAGCAAAGATGACTGACTACCAAGGCGCTCCATGTTTCCAAGAACGCCGGTGTCGTGTTCTGATGGCGAAAGCAGTCCAGCCCTCGCAGCCGTAGCTCGGTCGATCTGTGCGCATCTGGGAGACACAAATTCTGCCGCGATGTGCGGATCGTCGAGCTTAATGATCATTTGTGGGCCAGGAAGCTCCACGGACAACGGTCTGGTCCTCTTCAACCGGCTTGATGCAGAGGAGGTTCCCATTGGCGATGCAGAGCGCGCTTCATCTACGGAGACTTCGTGCTGCTCGTGAGCGCTTGCGTACATGCTAGCGCCAACACTTGCGGTCGATAACCCCATGCCGTGCCTAACATCGTGCGTTGCCTGACTCATCTCCATGAAGCCGCCTTCGGAGCGTGCGTCGTTCGAAGAGTCCGATGAGGCGGAGCTGTTGCGCGGGGATGGTTTTCTTGCAGAATTGCTTGAGGTTGATTCAGCATCCAGCCAGATGGAAACTCCCTCGAACGCTGCAGATCGGCTCAGGTCTTGGACAAATGTCATCGGATCCTCCAGGTTGGTGCCCGCTGCCCTCAGAGGACCAGCACTAGAGCTGAAGGCAATTGCGTCTACGCGTGCTTCAAGGCATATCCGCTCGTTGAGCTCGTCCTTCCCCTCAGGTTGATTTTGGACCCCTATGCGCACGGAAGCGACTTGTACCTTGAGTCGCGATAGTAGATTTTCTACCATCGAGGAGGACATCGAGCCGGCGACGGCAGACACTGCAGGCTCCGGAGTTGATGGACCGGCACTGTCCTCCAAAACGGAGTTTGCCAGGTCACGCTGCAGCTGCTCTCCTTCGGGATCGACCGACAGCATCGATTCTGCAGCGCTCAATATCGAGGCTTCAAGACCCTTCGCATCCAGTTCTGAATGGCCGTTCTCTGAGAGTGAAGAGGCAGAAGCTGGCCCATATGCCTCTTGCTTCGGGCAAAGATCCAGCTGGAGATTTACATCTGCTACCTTGAGCAACACCTCGCCGGCCCACAAATTGCTCAGAGCCGGAAGCTGAAGCGCCACGAGCCCCAAAGTGGCAGACGCCAGACGCACTGGCAGCGGCCCAAGCAGCTCGTTCACAGCCTGAAGTCGGGACCTAATTCAAGGTCAGCGCGTGCTTCGCCGTCTCCTCCGCTGTGCCTACGCATGGGGAATGACTCACATGCTTGTCCAGCTCAAGGTGAGCTATCTCTAACTTTCCGGACCCGATACCAGCATCAATCTGCGCGCCATCCAAGGAACCAGGCTTAAGGAGGTGACCAAGCGTTCGCCGTACCAAGTAGGAGAGTAGACGGCGTTGAAGGGCAGCGGAAATGCTCCAAGCGCCTGCGATCGGTAATCCGGGTAAGCTGGCGAGGGCTTGCCCTAGTAGAGCAGGAATGCCTGACCACATAATGGCTGATGCATGCGCTGTAGACACTGGCTTTGAAAGACATCAAACTGAGATTCAGGGCTCGTCGCGCACGAAGCGCCCCTGGACCTTATCCCAGTACGCTCATGCTAGGATCTCACGACCCGTGCCTAGAGCCGCGCAGCGGGGACCGCAGGACAGGCTCGCGAGCCTAGTGCAATGCGTGGTGTTTATATGGGTCCTCGATGTAGGCAGCTGGGGCCATCGATAACGAGATGGAGGCGTGAGGGTGTCAAAGTGATGAACCTGGCCAAGCAGCCTTAAGAAGTGCACGTCGTCTTGCTGATATGTAGATCACGATTGCGCAGCCCTGCTGGGGAGCCGGCATACCTGCACACACGAAATCAAAATAGGGTCCTGAGATTCATGATTGAAAATTGTTCAATTGTCCATCACGCGGGGGATTAGCACCCAAGCTCGTGCCTACGTCTTGATTCAAATTAGCCTTTGAACTCTGAAGACTCATGACTTTGAGATTCGAGAACCCTCAACCGTTCACCCGCTGCGAGCGCAATCAGCGTGCTGTGCATATTTAAATACACAGGCGCATCGCTTCTCTTTTTGGGATCCTGCGGTTGCATGTGGAGAGACGATGACGCCTTGCTGGTGCAGCCAGCCCAGCAGCTAGGGTGGCTCGATCGCCGGGCCTCAGCGCCGAAAGTCGGGCGGGGCGGGCGACTGCGCATGCTGACGACTCCCGACAACGCACCTTCCAAGGCGATGTCCATTCGTTCACCCATCACCATCCTGCACCCAACCCACATGCACCCGGTGCACGAGTCGAGACCGCACCAAGCCTTGACGGCCTACACTACAACAGCTTCCAATCATCGGCACGCACTCAGCTCGTGAGGCTTGACAAGCATGACTACTCCGGCTGGGTCAGGGCCTGTGGCCCCTCTTCAGCTCACCCCGCTAGAGCGACCAGCCTTTGCTGCACTGTTCGCAGCCGCCGATCCCGCCTCGAGTGGCATCATCACCGGATCCTCGGCTGTACAATTCTTTTCCAAGTCTAGACCCGCACTGGATGGCACAGTTCTGGGCGCTATCTGGAGCCTCGCAGATCGCGCAAATAATGGTTTCCTGGGCAAAGCGGAATGGGCCGTCGCAATGCGTCTGCTCGGGCACGCCCAGCGTGGTACCGCGGCGGACCAATTGGAAGGTATGCTCTCCCAGCCTGGACCGCCGCCTAGCTTTGAGGGTGTCACGCTCCCGGGCGCTCAGGCTACGCCGACTCGGGCGAGCTCTGTTGCTCAAGTGCCACAAGTTTCGCCGGCAGATCGAGCGCGATACACTCGCATCTTTGCCAGCTCTGGACCTGTCAACGGTCTACTAGACGGTGAGTAAGGCTGCATGGAGAGGGTATCATGTCTCAAGGCTGACGTCGGTACCTGACTCTCGCTCTTCAGGCGAGAAAGCAAAGGGCATTCTGGTCCGCTCGAAGCTCCCTTTCGACCAGCTTGGTCAAATCTGGGGACTTGCGGATACACGATCTCGCGGCGCTCTGGACTTGACGGATTTCATCATCGCCATGCACTTCCTGCAAGCTTCGATGAATGGCTCGCTCGGTAGCGCTGGGCTTCCTGCGACCCTACCACCGGGTCTCTACGAGCAGGCCGCCGTAGGCGCTGCTGTCCCTCCTGGCAGTCCCTCTCGTGGCTTGACAGCGCAGCATACTGGCGGCAGTATTCCCGGTGGTATTCCGCGGCAGCTCACTGGGCAGGGTTTCTCCCAAGCGCCCACCTCTCCACCCGCTTCTACCATCCGCCAGCCTTTAGGAGCAAGACCCTCTGGTTTCTTGAGTCCACAGCAGACGGGCGCTGCTGTAGTGCCCACGCTGGCAGGCGACTGGCTTGTTAGTCCTGCAGATAAGGCGAAGGCGGATCGATTCTTCGACGGGCTGGATACCGAGCGTAAAGGTACGCTGGAGGGTCAAGCTGCTGTGCCTTTCTTTATGCAGAGCGGTCTTCCAGAAGCAACTCTTGCCCACGTCTGGTGAACTTGATCGATGTAGCGTCTACCTCAGATCGCATGTGACACTGACGAGAGTCGTTCCTTCTCGCAGGGATCTGTCCGACATCACACAGTCTGGTAATCTGAGCCGGGAGGAATTTGCTGTGGCAATGCACCTCATCAATGGGGCTTTGACGGGATCGCAATTGCCTCAAGAGCTTCCAGCTGGTTTGATTCCGCCCAGTCTACGGGGCCGAGATCTTCCGGCTGCCGTCAATCCTCAAGAGTCTGACACCCAGAAAGATCTGTTTAGTCTTATGGACGACGACGAACCCGCCGCACTTCCAGTCAATCCTGCCAGTGCCTTTGTCAAGCCAACATCTTCGGTATCTGCTGTTCCGCCGCCTCCCGCACCGAAGGGCACCGGACCTTTCGACGACGAATTCTTCAGCGGGCCTGCGGCAGCTGCAGCTACCCCAAGCGCTCTGTCGCCTGCCGTCACCGGCAACAATTCCGCAATCCGAGCTGCAGCGTCACCTGTGCCGCCAGTTACCGACGCTTCGGCCGAGGTGGGCAACAGGAGACTGGCTCTGGACAGCACAAACAAAGCGCTCACCGGGCTGCAAAGTAAACGGGCCGAACTCGAGCAGACCGTAAGCACGAACTCTACAGATATCGCTGAGCTCGAATCGCGTCTGACCGTCGTGCGAGCAACTCATGACAAGGAGTCTGCCGCAGTGAAGACACTCCAAGAGAGAGCGACCTCACAGGCAGGTGAGCTCAAGACGCTCCGCGAAGAGACGATTCGGGCGGAAAGCGACCTTTCAGCTCTGCGAGCTGAAAAGGACGAGATAGAGCAGACTGTGCTCCGCGATCGCGAGGACGTGCGCGATATGAAGAAGCGTATGGCAGAGCTGCAGGCCGAGAACAACACACTTCGTACTGCGCTCGAGAAGCTTCGAAAGGAAGCTCGTCAGCAGAAGGGCTTGACTGCAATCTCGAGGAAGCAATTATCATCTGCAGAGAGCGAAGGCGACAAGCTCCGCTCCGATATTTCTGCTGTCGAGAGCGGAGAAGTGCTCGAGAGCGGTGATCACCCAACCACAGGGGCTGGTCAAACGCCTGCAAGCGTGACGTCTCCCGTGCTCAGTCCAGCAGGCAGCATCCGCAGCACGAATCCGTTCGATCGTTTTCACGCTGCCAACGCGGAGTCCGCTCCAGGCACTCCTCATGCACGCACAGCTTCTTTGGCAGCTGGCGTTGCTGCAGCGGGTGGGGCTCTGGGTCTCGCAGGCGCAGCTGTGACGCACGCAGGGGCACAGGCAGGCGCGGATGCGGGTGCCACGCCAACAGCGCCGCCTGCAGCTGCCAACGATGTGGATCCATTCGGTGTACCCAAGCCAGGTCTTGGTCCCACGCCGCCACAAGAGAGCAACGCTGCCTTCGATGATGATTTTGGGCAAGCTGAAATGGACAGCGAGGCACCCAAGCAGGTTGTTGCCGCACCTTCGCTGGAGCGCAAAACGACCGGTGGATCAGCCTTCGACGAAGCGTTCGCTGATCTTGAGGGCGAGTCGGTTGCTCTCCCTCCTACTACGATCGCCGAGGCGGCGGACGTGCAACCCATCGCGGAACACACAACTGCTCCAGTAACGGCCGCCGCTGAGAGCGTCACGGCTCCCGCTGACGCGTTCCAAGACTTTGAAGACAGCTTTGCGCCTCCCGGTGCCATCGGCGCGGTCAGCGAGGGTGCTGCTGAGATACCGCCCACTGCTGCGTCACCTGCCTCGAAAAAGCGCGAAGTCCTTGGCGACGGGGGGTTTGCCGCGCACTCCATCCTCGCAGATCATCCGCCCGCTGCTGAGCCATCACTCGGCGTCTCAGAGTTCAAGGGCAAAGAGCCACGAAGAGACGAAGAGGATGCGGACAGCTCGGATGATGATGAAGGGCCTGAAGACATTGAGCGCGTTACCTCGCCTGAAGAGGCAGGCTTGGGCAAGACACCCCAGGCACCTCTGGCGTCCCTGCCACCCGCGATTACCACGACGCAAGCGGCTGAGCGGTTCCCTGAACTAGATGAGGGCAACGTTATGCCCGTTTCGTCTTCGCTTGAAGCCGCTTCAGGCCCTACGACAGCCCCTCTCACCGCTCAGACGACTGGAGATGATACGTTTGTGGATGCTCCGTCCGAAACTCCCAACACGGCTAGCGGCTTTGGAGCATCGCAGTGGGCGAATGCGTCGGGCGTGACTAATACTGCCTCATCTAACGGTGCCCCTTCAGAAGACTTTGGGCACGAGCGATTCACCACGGCTGCAGAGCCGGCTCTCGCCTCCAGTGCAGGTATAGCGCAGCCCTCGAACGCCAGCGAGCGCTCGTTGAGCCCTGGCGTAACCAAGAATCGACGCGCACCCCCTCCGAAGCCCGTGCGCAACACTGCAGCAAGTGCGGACGCCAGCAGTCCTTTCCAGGAGACTGTTGCTTTGCCAGCGGCGGTGGACGAGTTCGGTATTGCAGCAACTACAGGCGCGCAAGTTACAAGGGGTCCTTCTACGGCGACTTCTTTCGACGACTTTGACTCGGCCTTCGAGGACTTGGGTCCGGCTGCTCCTGCTACCAATACGGCTACTTCCACCAGTACTGGTGCGCCTCCCTTGCCTAGTTTCGACGACGCATTCGGGGACGCAGATGGATTCGACTTCGTTCCGTCCTTCAGCACATCTAACGGGCAAACGGCACCGAATGCTGCTGCGCCGATCACTGCACGTGGAACGACTCCGCCAGCAAACGACGCCTTTGGCAGTGCATTTCCACAGACTGCTCAGGCGGCCCCCAGCTCGGATGCGATTCCTGGCGGGTTCGGATTCGATGACTTTGCTGCATCATTCAACGCAAGCTCCGGCGCCAATGGAGCTGAGCAAAACAGCAACACGAGCAGCGGATTCTCATTTGCGGATGAATTCAACCCTACTCCCGCCATGGCCGCGCCCAGCACAGGCGGACCTTATCTCCCACCACCAGGTCCTCCTCCCGCGTCAGGTCTAGCGCCCTCTTCTGCAGCGCCCCCTTCGCTGCCTGGCCGAGGAGGCGGTGTCAGTCCAGCCCCCTCTCCTGCTGCCGCCGATGATGCTGGACCAGTCAGACAATTGTGCGCGATGGGCTTCTCGAGGGAAAAAGTGATTCAAGCGCTGGAAAAGAGCAACTACAAGGTGGATAGAGCGCTCGAGAGACTCCTTGCTGCCGCTTGACCTTCAGTGTAAATAAAAGTTCTTGTTACTGCAGCCTCGTACATTCCTTGATGTAAATCGTGATACGTCGAATCAAAGACTCGTACGCTCGACCAGGATGCAAGCGGCTCCTCTTGCGAGGCCTTTTGATTGCGGTCAATGCTGATGCTTGCCCCTTCGAGATCGCAATCCAGTCGTGGGGTCATGGGGCTTCCCAGTAAGTACGCCTTGCCAAGAGGCGGTGACATTGACCCTCCTATTCTCCGCTGCCTGAGCTGCACGCTACGTCGCAAATGGGCTGGCGCTTGGACCAGCACGTCGGGTGGGGTCACCGAGGGGAAGGGAGAAGCTGCGAGGGAGTCGGCAGGTATTGGCAAAGGTCGTTCAAAACGAAACAATACCAGCGAACCCGAGCGGCTGCGTCGAGCGAACGCTTGCAGAAAGTGGAAACCTTCGTTCACCGCTTGAGCAAATGAGGTAAAAGGTTGGTCTGCAATAATTGAGCATGGACCTTGAGCATGGAGGAGGTGAAGAGGATAGCAGGTGACCATGCTGTAGACACCTGTCTGCAATGGCCCTGCATCTAGAGGAGCGGGATCACCAGCTAACTAGCACTTGTCTCACCCTCAAAGTCTTGCTCGATCACCTGCCACGTATACTTTCTTTGTCTGATGTGGCAGACCAAGCTAGGGGGCAGTAACGAGGCAATGGCACGGCTGCTGACACAAACTTGCAGCACCTGTAGCCCTGCCTGCGACTTTTGGCAAGTACCAAAGGCTCATCTTCTCCCTCGCCTGTGAATGCTATCCAGCAGCACAATGCTATCACAGAAGTGGATCTTCACTATGTCTTTCACAGTTACAGGTATAAGATGGACGTCCTGCTGCTGTGGGCGAGGTGGATGTAGGCATTGCCAACCTCATTCTCCAGAACCACGCCCATCTCTGCCACTTGGATTGCTCAACACCTGATGCTCCTGCAGCCCTACAGAGGGTCATTGACATGGCCAGTCGCACCAGCATCAAGTCAGTCATTGTCATGAAGGACATTACTGCCAAGGATCTGCACGGCCAGCACCATGATGACTATGGATGTTTTGGCCTTGCTTGTGGCCAAGGGCCAGCGACATTCCAGCTCCTCCTTGCCCTCATGGACTACAGCCACAACAAGACGGTGTATGATGGGATAGATAGAAGAAGAGCAATTCCAGGCTATGCCCAACGCCATGTGATCAACTTTTGGCTGCATGGACCCAATCATAGCTTGATCTTGCTCCATGCAGTCATGTGTGCTCGACTGTTGATCAAGTTCAATGCGCCCATCATCCAATTCACTTCAACATCCGCCATCTGGATCATGTGCAGCTGCATCAACAAGATTTTCCGCAATGTTGCGCAAGAAGTCGGCGCTCATACGTGCAAACGCCATGGCCAAGCGTCAAAGGAGAGTGCCTCTATTCTTTGCCTATCCCATGAAGAAGCTAGGCACGGCAACAAATAGAGTAGACCCTGCAGTCTTGGTGGCCATCAAGGAGCTGAACCCAGTGTTTGGCCTGCTGGAGCTGTACACATTTGAAGCTTCTTGCATCAGTGTTTGCAGTGTGTACTACCTTGCCAACATGCAAAAGGGTTGCAGTGCACCAAAACATGATCCCAAGTGGAGCAGATCAGCAGATGGCCCATGGGCTAGCAGATCAGCTTGAGGGACTTTGGGCTCACAGAGGATATCACTTTGCAAAAGGACTGGAGCTGCTCTGTCTTTTGTCTGCCCCGCTTGCGTCCACGCATTGTCGTGCTGTGGGAAGGTGCGGTGGGAGAGACTGTTCAGAGCAAGGCAGAAGCACAGTTGCAGGGAAAGATGACTGCTTGCAAGGTGGTGGTCAGATCATTGTATGTCATTGGGAGACAGACGCTGCAGAAGTGGCTTGCTCATCCACACACCTGCATTGTTGCCATTGGTGATAGCGCTTACCACATGCTCTTGTACAGGCTAGAGCATCAGCGTGCCGAGGTGATTGTGCACCCGCGCTTTGCCACGCTTGGACGCACCTTTTCTTGCCCCAACCCATCCAAGCCACGCTTGCACCCAGTCAATGCGGTGCCAGATGTGCTGAGCATCAAGACTGGCCGCTCAAGCACACCTCTCATCACCACGCTTCCCATGGTGGTGGCAAGAGAGGAAGATACTGCTGTTCAAGCTGATGCTGTCCTGACCTGCATTGAGACGGCAGCGTTGCTCTCTGCTAGCCAGGGCCTAGAGGCAGAGGAGCTCGAAAGGTGCATCAGGCTGGCAAAGAGCTACTTGTGCGGAACAGGCACACATGTGGCGGGCAATGGAATGGTCAGTGTGGATGTGGAAGAGGCAGAAGGGCTGGGCAGGTGCACAATGCTTTTTGGGCGCTGCAGAAACCTGCTGCCCTTGCCATTGCATGTGGAAGGAGAAGATGCAAAGCTGCAACAGGTGTATCTCACGCTCAAAGTCTGGAAGGATGGCACCTTTTGCAATCCCAGTGGCACATTTGCACTGTCGAGCATTGCAGAGCAAGCGTCTGATGGCACAGATCCCATGGATGTTGATCTGCCCAGCACAAGCAATGGAGGTGAGTATGTGGATTGCTCCTCTTCTCCTGCAGCTGCTGCACCTGCATCCACAGCAACTGCAAGCCAGCCCACAGAAGGCAACCTTTGCTTTGTCTCTTACAACAGCAAGCACAAGAAGGAGCAGCGGTGGATTCACTTGCTGGCTTTTGTGCAAGTGGCCCTAATGGGAGTTGGAGAGTCGTTTTGCAAATTATGGAGGCAGAAAAAGGTGGAGAAGGGCAGCTTGACAAGTGCGCATTGGAACATGCTACTCCAGATGCAGTGGTTGAGCATGCAGCCTTCTCATTCTGCGTTGGTCTGCACAGGTGTGCTCCAGTTTACAAGCAATTGCAGCACTGTCAAGGTTAGTCCTGTGCTGCCACCTGTACCTGCTGATGTCAATCAGCTGGCCAATGCCTGCTCATGAAGCAGACTGTCTGATGAGAAGCAAGAAATTGAGCATGGAGCAGCAAGGAGGCAACACACTAACCAACACCTCTACCATACCACCTTTTGCAAGCATTGACAGCCTTCCTGACATACCTGTTGAGCAGTCTCAGAGATGCTCTGCAAGATGAGGTGGAGCAGGATGACAGGCTTGTTTGGGATGTGTAGGTGCAGGTAGTGGCCACGTCAGGTACATGCTCTGCCATAAACACCTTGAGATCCATGGCAGCTGCCAGCTCTTTAGCAATCAAGCTGAGAGCTTGGCAGCTCCTGAGGGATTTGTAGAGGCACAGAGCCTTGCTAGAAGGCTCCATCTTTGCCCAGACCTTGACAGCATTCTGACAAGAACCAAGCAACATCCAGATCAGTGACAAAGACATTGCGCTGGCTTGGAGAATGTTTGCAACTCACATTGAAATGGTCAAAAGCGGCTTTAAGACCAGCAGTGGAAGAGCCAGCTCTTGTTCAAAATAAAGGTCATCTTTAGTGTTGCTAGGAGCACTGTCCACCACCAGCCAGAATGTGTTGTTGGAGATGAGCCCTCTAATGCGAGAGCAGGGCTTGACATGGTCAGCTTTGACGACGTTCATGAGTTCCTTGAGGAAGTTCATCTTCACATTGAAAGCAAGCTCTCCACCTCCGAGCTTGGCCAGAAGATTCTGAAGCATTCATACTTTGTGGGCATTGTCAACCTCTTGCAGATCTCTTGCATGTCCTCGTCTGTCAAGTCAAATGCTGTGGTAAGACATGGGTTGGGAGGAGAACCTTCCAAATCATTGCTTTCATGGTCAGATGCCCATGCTTGATGTGGGGTTGAGCTTTGAGACTCTTCAGCAATGGTTGGACCTCCAGCAAAGCGACTCAAGGAAGCTTCTATAGGGACTTGGCTTGGCCTGCGCACCTCCTATTGGAGATGAGATCTTGAAGATGACGCATCAGCATCAAGTGACAAGCTGGCAGTGGCAGGCATGGAAGATTGATGTGGAGTGATGAGCAATGCTGCCAGGACAGTGTTTATGTAGACTGTGCGGAGGCTCTCTTGCGTGCAGCCCTTTCCTTGTTTGCCCACTCGTCACTGGCCCTTGCGAGGTTGCGGCGCTCCTGGTTGCACTCGTCGTAGCGCTGAAGGGCCGCCTTTTTGCGTCGCTCCCCCCCCCTTCAACAACCTTTTCAACCCATTCAGCTGCTTGGTCAGCTCCTCTCCTCTCGTCTTTAGCTGGGTGATGCTGGATTCTGCCATACCGCACAGACGGGTTTGGTCAGCAAGCTGATTCTTGGCGTTGCTGACCTCTGCATTGGCGGCATCTAGGTCCGATGACCACTTTCGCTCGGCCTCCTCGGGCTCCTGGCGCTCCTTCTCCATCGCATCATTGTGCTTCTTGCTCGACTCTCTCAGCTCGTCTGTTCTTGCCATTACCGAGCGCTGGTATGCATTCTGCCACTCTTTCATCTGGCCCTGAAGCGCCGCCACAACGCATTGCGCTTGCATACTGGCATTTGCGAGCTCTTCGAACGTGCTCTCCTTGACCAGCGCTTCAATTGTGCGCTCTTTGGTTTTGGCAATGCGCCTCTTGCAATCTCGCAATTCCGCCTCCAGCTCCTTGATGCCCCTTGCCAAGACAGTTGTTGCCCAAGCTCCAACTACTCAGACTACTGATCAAAGATTGCCTTGGGGTTGCGTTTGCGATGCGCTTTGGACTTGTGAGGGTGGGTCGGCATCTTGCAAAAGAGCTTGGGAGGAAATTTGGTTGGAAGAGGGTCTCAAAGAAGGGGTGGATGGAGGTATGGAGGAAAATTGTACGCTTATGTACGAGGCGCGAGTCAAGCTGAGCCAATCGTAGGCTCATACTTTGCTGGCACTCGTGATGACTGCTGGCAGAGGCATGCAAGATATGCAAAGGAACCGTTGAGTTTGGCATGCATGCTGCGTGCAAGTCTCGCACACCGCTGAAGCAGCCAGGCATAGTTGCGAGCCTCTATCGGCCTGCTATCTCTGCTTGCCAATGGCATTTGATGAGTGTGCATGCATGCTGCCACCACAATTGATCGAGAAGTCAACGAGTCACAAGTCTTACACTCGTTGCGCAGAGAGCGGTTTGGAGAGGTGGGAATGAGGCACGACAAGACCGTGATGTTTTGTTGGATGCACTCTGCTCATGCTGTGACATGCCCATTTGGCACTCAGACACTCCCACCGCTCCACTTCGTCAAGCCAAGCAGCTTACATCTTGATTTGCTTCGCTTTGCACAGAGTGTCTTGGAGCGCATCAACCTGTCCCGCCTTCTTGCGCAGCTCGCGCTTCAGGTACTTGATGTCCCCTTTTGGTTTGTCCTTCTGATGGGTGGCCTGGGACTCATACTTGGCAAGGTATCCTTCTAATGGGTGATCTGGGACTCATCCTTGGCAAGGTTGTGCTTGAACTTGTCCAGCTTGGCTTGCAGCACCATGATCTGCTCCTTCTCCATGCGCTGCTTGCACCTCACATGCTGTGATCATGCCAAAGTGGATAAGCGCGCGGACACACTTAGGATCTGCAAGCAAGGAACACAGGAGGGTTGATTGCAGCGCCTGAAAGTGATGTAGCCAAAGAAGAGAAGCATTTCCAATCATCCCAAGTTGCCAGAGATGGAAAATTGGTTCAATGAGCCCGCTGCTGATGGTCTCCAGCAGGCGCTCATACGCAATGGTCCTGTTGCCAGCTTGCGCCACAACAAAGACATCTTCAAGCGAGTCCACAGTGCTGGCATCCTCAAAGGCAATCTGGGCGTTGGCCTGCGCATCCTTGAGCCTTGGTGTGCCCATCTTGAAGGACAGGCAAGCAGATTGGCCTGCCAGCTGATTGGAGAAGATGGGATCACAATACAGCGAAAAGGCACGGCCACCTCGAGCAGGAAGGGTGATGCGGGGATGCTCATCCGAGGTGACTTGGAACGCATCTCCAGCACCACCACCCTCCTGAAAGCCATCGACAAGGTTACGCAAGCTGGTTGGAGGGATGCCAGCGGAGAGGTATGCTGCGGCAGCAAACATTTGCTGGATGGAGCCCAGATGAATGTCCAAGAGGTGTGCTGCATCCGCAAGTGGAAATGAACTTGAGAGTGTGCTCAAGATGGGGACCGCTTGGATGCCTAAGCTGGTGGCAATGACAACATCTAGGACTGCTTTAGCTTGGGTGAAGGATGGTGCTGTCAATCAATGGTCCACAGAAGCAAAGTTGAGGTGCATATGCAAAGACCCTCCGTCCGCTTGCAGAAGCTTGACAAAGCGCTCGTAGGCCAGGCTGCCAACGCACAGAATGACGGTCGACGAGGCTCCATGTTGCCATTGTGTTGCTTTCTTTGACGGGTGATTTCAAAATCAGCCCCGGCAAGGTTGCGCTCCGCCTGGTGCAGCTTGTCTTGGCAATGATGGTGTCCTTCTCTTTGAGGGATTGATTCTTGTGCTAGACAGCGATTTCATATTGCTGACACACCGCTTCCTGCATGTTCCAAGCTCACATGAGCTCTTCAAATGCGTTGCAGTTCGAGTTCCTCCTTTGACGCCTTGGACTACTACTACGTGCAGACGCAAGTTGCAAGTTCGAAAGTCGCAAAGTCAAACTTGCCGGCGCTGAGTGTGCCTGAAGTATTGCTGGTGTTTCAAAGCCTTGATTGCCTTCTTCACATCTGAACTTTGCTCCGGTAGTCAATTTCTCACCACAAATTAGGGGCTAGTGACGCTCGAGTCGTAACCCCGGCACATGTGTGCCTGTGCAGCTAGAACTTGAGGAATTTGAGCCGGTTCTTGACTTGGAGCAAAGTGGAATTTACATGGTATTCGAAAAGCGTACTTGGCCAGAACAGTGGGTGTGGGCTCAACGTGCCTGAAGTGTGTGGATCTACTCACCTTTGCACCCTTACTTTGCAGGTGATCAAGAAGGTGTCTGTGTTCTCAGAGAGCGGATAGAAGGAACGTCATTTCTACACCAATGAATGCTACAAGTCAGACTCAGTGTGTGCCACAGCAGTCCGCCAAGTCTTGAGATGACTTCAGAACAAGAAACGGCGCATCACCCTTCGAAGCGAGGGCGCTTGCAGTGAATACAGTCACGAGCCTCAACTTCACACCACGCGCCAAGCACAAATCTATCGCACATTTGCAACGTTGCAATGTATAGCGTGCCGTCTTCACATTTGCACGCGCATGGGCAAAGTCTGCAACCTACCTTATAGCCATCCATCATCCGCATCCCACGAGTCGACGACCAGGTCGGTAGATGCAGCAGCAGGAAGTGGAGGTGCGGGATTCAACGTCATCGAGCCGCCCGTTCGCGCTGTCGCAGGCATGACATCGCTAGGGCGAGGCACACCAGCACCGCTGAGACTTTCCCATGCGCTCGTTGACCGACCATTGGGGTTCTCACGAGAGGGGTTGTTCTTGTTGGCTAGCGCACCGGATGCTACGGCTGCCCAGCCGCCGGCCCTAGGTGCCGAGTGAGTAGGCGTAACAGTGCCCGAACCTGATGCCGAGCCGGTCCTGGACATGTTGACAGCCCAGGCAGATGCAGATGCGCTCGTCGAGCCCGTCTTGTTCTCCCCATCGTCTTTTCTTATGACGCGCTTCGACAGACCGTCGAATGCTACAGCGACGACGCTCGCTGCAAAGTGCTCCGTCTTGGCGTGTTGTCGAAGAGCTGCTAGTGTGGGCACGGCCAACAATCGTGCAGCAGGTACCGTATCGCTCGTGACAACGACATCTTCGTCACCTATCCATCTGAGCTGTATAGCGGAACCTTTGAGAGCGCGACTGTGCAATAGAGCCTCGAGCGATGTCGCATCATGACCAAACACCTTTTCGAGCAGGATGGCGTTCAGAGGTGCGCGAGGTCCAGTCGATGTCGTGAAAGACTCGGGGCGCTTCAATTGACCGAGTGCCGTGGGCCTTGAGGGCCCCGCTGCCAGACCTGACGCTCTTTGCGAAGCAACGAGGCCCGCCGCTTGAGACAAGGTCGGACTGGGAATCTTGCTCGTCTGCTGTCTTCTAAGAGACGTCGAACGGCCGTCCAAGCTTTCCGCGATGAGATTGTAATGGGGCGCAAGAGCCAGTTCGAAATCTCTTTGCTGCTTGCCCGCACTCGGCAGTACCATTCCGTGTCTGGGAGAGTGGATGAAATCCGCAAACGCCCTTTCCGTCTCTTCGCAAGCCCTGCGATTCGTCAAGAAGTGGTCGACGAGTGGGAGGGGGTACTCCGCTTTGGCGCCTTTCTCCATCGGATTAAGCCCGAGCGCTTCGGCAAGCTTTGCATTGCGCGCAGCTATGGAACAAGCGTCGGTGCATTTCAGCTTCCTATCCGTGGCCGGTTTGGAGTGGATGGACGCGCCGCATCGTGCTCTCTGTTGGAGATTGCCGCAAGGACATTCCAAGGTGATGTTGGCTGAGCAAGCTTCCGACTCTGGGCATGCCGATGGAGCGTGGCAAGACTTCTGACACGCGTGTCCGCAGATCGGTCGAGGTTTGCCGCACGTCTGGTTGCAAGGTGCGCACTTGCCCGAGTGACACAGGGCCGCATCCTTGTGATATCCGCAGCTGAGCGTCGCTCCGCAAACAACGCCGCACGAAACCAGATCGACAGACCTCGAGCAAGGCACGTTTGGAACCGTATTGGCCTTGGCGCACCTGCAAGCTCTCTCTACCAAGTATACGCAGGGCGGGCATCCATCCTCGTTCTCGTGGCAATTGTGCGGTTGTTTGGGATGTCCACATGGAGGTCCTCCCCGAATACAGGGAAAATTACAGCGCACCTGCGTGCCGCAAGCGATGGGCGGGTCTATCACGGTCCTTCCACAGTGGCAGATGAGCTCTTCGAAGCTTGCTCTGAGACAAGGTGGACATGATCCCCGATGGCACTTGAGCGGGCAAGAATGTCCGCAAGACAGCGGTTTCCCGCACGGCAAGTCGCAAGCGTGCAACCCGGCCGGATCCTGTTCTTCCAGATCAGCTGCAGTCATGCGTTTCCGCGGTTTTGACCTTGCTTGAAAGGCGAGGGGGCAGCATCGGCGGGAGCATTGATGACGCCCGCAATGGCGTAGCGCAGAGCACGATCGTCCGCAGAGCACATCCTCCGCTTGACTGCTTAGCATCTGCTTTTGGCGTTCGTGGCAAGGTAGCGTCGCCTTGCTCTCTCCGCAACGACACGGTGTAGTTGTAGAGACGGCGCAGGGAGGACAAGCTCCGTGATGACACTTGGCCACGCACTCGTGGCCGCACGGCAGCACCTTCAAGCAGCTCCGCGTGCACGTAGGAACGGCGTCCGTGCAGGCCGCCCTCACTTGCGTCAGCTTTTCTGCTCCACAAGGGCACGTCTTGACGAGGTCCGGGGCCCGAGGACAGCGAGTCGGACCCGCTGTAAGGGGGTGGCAAGACTGTTCGCAAGAGTGTTTGCCACACTGTGCGAGTTGCAGCGCATTAGTGCGCGCTCGCAGACACAACAAAAAACTTTGACAAGTACTCACATCAAATCGCTTCTTGCATTGACTTTGACAACTCCATCTGCCTGTCCATTCCTTTCCATCTGCCTCAGCGCTGCTGCGAGGCTCGCCTCCGCCGCAGAGCATATCTTGACTTTCCCTTCCGCAGTAGCAAGGAGCCTGGGTGCGCTTGTCGCATGCTTCGCAGGGTCCAGGATGGCATGCCTGCTCACAGCGATGAACGCCGCAGGTGAGAAGCTTGTCGCATGTGGATCCGCAAGAGACTCCTTGGGCGGCCGAGGAGCCTGGGACGGATGTCGCACCTGCTGCGCGGCTTTGATTGCTGATCTGCGAGCACCGAGCTGCAATCTCTTGCGAGCCGCAGAAGCATTTTCGCGTCAAGGTGACGGGGCAGGGTGGGCAAGGACCTGTGATGCGAAGCGACGATTAGCTCTACTGGAACGACACATCAGACCCAAGGTCATCCTTCTTGCTCTTACCTGGATGACACGATCCAGCAGAGCAGCCGTGCTGGCACTTCCCTCTCGCACACGGCCTGCCACATGAATGCGCGGGTGCTCCTTTGCCGCTCTTCGGCTCCACCACCTGTCCATCCCAGCATTTGTACACGGTGGGTACCTGCTCCCTGGAATACTGACACCCAGGACATCTCCACGTTCCTTTTCTGTTTCTGATGCTCGGATCTTCCTGCATGGCATTCTGCTCTTCGGCTTTCTGAACGCTAGCCTCGGCCCATTGTCGGGCACAAGAGAGGTGCAGAACGGCAAAGCACTTGTCGCAGCCCCACACGGCCACCCTTCGAGTGATGGAGCTGTAGCACACGCTACAGTCGTACTGACCAGATCCCAGCTCTGCTACGAGTCTCGAGCGCAAGTCGACGTACTCGATAGGCGCAGCAGGCTTAGCATCTTCCCGAGCTCCTTGCGCACTCCTAGCGCCCTTGACAGCAGCTCCTTCCGCTCCAGAAATTTTGCCACCGAACCTTTCTCTTCGTCCTGCGCTCTTTATCGGTGCTGCGACACTACCGCCCCGAGCATGCTCAGCATCATTAGACACCTCTGCCCCTTGACGACCTCGTCCACCTCCAACTGCTGCTGCTCCGCCACGACCTCTGCCTCGACCTCGGCCTCTACCCCGTCCGCGTGACCCACTAGGCGCGCCCCGGTCAGCAGCAGGTCCTTGCGGAGCTCCTTCGACGTCGCTCGGAGCAGAGGCCGCCGCACCGCGTCCTTTTCGTAACCGAGCGCCTGCTCGACCTCGTCGCGTTTCCGAGTGCGTACTGTGCTCCAAATTGTGCGATGCGGCGTTGAGGTGGGATGTGGAAGGTCGAGATGATGGAGACGGATCGGCGGCAAGGGCCATGCTTGCAGGAGGAGAGCTCAGAGTGAACGTGAAAAAGTGGCGTCTGGCGATAGAGTGAAGGAAATGTGCTTTCTGGACGTGCTCGCGCTTGCTGAAATATGCGAATGAATGTGCTGATGCGAGGGAGCGTGGCGAAGAGAGCGGTGGTGGTGGTAGTTCAAACGCAAGATGTAGGCGGCCAAGAGGCCACTATTTGCGTGCGCAGCAGCCTGTATGCGTCCGAGTCGCACACGTCTGAAGATGTAACAGGACTCGACTGAGCAGAAGCGAAATGGCATCCGTCTAAGTCTATGTGGCGATTTGATGAGCAATCACGAATGAAACGACCTCTGTCTGGATCTGAGGCCAACTTGATGTAGCAGCGCCGCTGTGGGAGCGACCGCGCCGAATCTTGAATGGGCATGTCGGACGAGTCAGCACAAAGAATCACGATCGAGTTCCCCCTCATCATGACTCATGACTCACGACTCATGACTCATGCCGCACGATCGACTCACGCAGCACGCATGCGCGCGTTGCAGCGTGCATAAAGACCGAGCGCGCGATTCATGACTCATCACAAAAAGAAGACGCCGACAAGGCCCGCCCCGCCCGGCATCCATTCACATTCTTCTGTACATTTGCTTGTGCTTCTTCATCAAACTGCTGGTTGGCTGAAGGGGGCAATCGATCACGTTCAGATGATCAGCAGTCTGAGCCGGAGCATCACGAACGATCACGAATGCTTGTGTTGTGGCCTGTACCATCGCAGTCGGGTATTCAGTCAATTGCTATGCGATCATCCTTGCGTTTCATGGACGCATCCATCCACAGCGCCTGCATGTGCTCAACCCACGCATTCAGACCGACCCAGTCGCAGTGGAGGCGCGCCAACCACGCTTCGCCAAGGGAGGGGGGCATATCAAAAGAGAGGATGGTGTGGGTATCTACATCACTGAACGACAAAGCCATTCGTGTCCAATCGATATCGCGATAGCAAAGCCGAGACACCAATCAAGCTGCAAGGCGAATGAAGCGATTCTAAAGCACATCGTGCTGCTCCACCGTCTTTTCCAGCTGCTGCACCTGATCCGATGTCCTGCTTTGAGTCTTGACAGCTTGCGCTCCAGCTCTACTATTCATCGATTCGGGATCATTCGCCTCTCTTCTCGCTTGCCGCTCCTCCACTCTTACACTTTCCAGCTCTTCTTGCGCCTTCTCCACTGTCCCTCTTGTTGTGGCACCCTCGGGCTTCTGTGCCACAATGGCTTCCTCGTCTGTCTCCTCGACCTGGCCTGCCTGAGAGATCGAACCTTCTGCAGCATTCTCCACCGCCAAAATGGCCTGCTTCGATACTGCCGGCTGCACAGTCTCCTCTCCAAGTCTATCGAAAGCAGAGGATCTCCACTCGTTCGTCACCACATTCCTCTTTCCAGTCGTGTCCACCTGTTGCTTGATCCACTTGACAGCATGCGCCTCCTGCCACCTCTTTTCATCGTTCGGATCCTCCTCTCTCTTGAAATCAATCTCCAAATGACCCGCCTGCTCGTTGTACTTTCGAAGCAGATCTCGCAGCTCAGCAATACGTTTGCGAACTTCCGCAAGATCCATCCTACCCGCCTCCTCCTCCCTCTCCAACCTGAGTGCCATCAGCGCCACGTCCAGCTGCTTCAGTCCGATCGTGATGCCCATGCCGATGAAATGTCGCAGGATGCGCTTGGTCAAATACGAGTTGACGATGGAATCTGCAAATGCGTGCAAAATCCTATGATTGCTTTGGTGCACCTTGATGCGCAAAGTCTTCAACTTCGCCTTGACCTTCTTGACCTTGAAGTAGTGCGGTCCGGGATCCTTTGGCACGTCAATGTAGATAGACACTCCAAAGTCTCCCACCAAGAGATCTGCAATGCCCTTGTCGTGAAAGGGTAAGCCCTTGTGGAGTTGCAGCGCAAAGGCCAACTTGTGCACGCGTATGCTCATACCCTTGATCTTGATCTTGACAGAGTGCGAGTGCGAGGAGGACTTGAGCTTCTCAAAGTCGAATTGGACGTCGTTGAGCATTCGAATGCCCAGCATGGAAGGCAGCAAATTCTTCAACTCTAGCGCAATGTTCTCAATGACCAGATCAAAGTCTGGATGGGTGTACTTGACGCGCGGTACGGGCAACACTCCGATCTTGTCAAAAATGGCCGGCAAGATGGTCAATCGGAGATCTTGCCAAAGCGCTTTGCTGGGCAGCATGCTCCCATCCCTCCCGAAGCTTACATCCTTGACGATGTTCTTGAGATGCACGCCGAGCTGGTGCAGGAGCTCGTCGGAGGCCAAAGCTGACGCGAAATCAGCAACTTGGCCTACTAGCCTTGCAAGTTCCTCCTTGTACTGCTGATTCAGCTTGTCGAAGCGCGCAGCCAAAGCCCGCCACGCCTCTTCGCATGCAGGCTCGAGAGCATAGCCTTCTTGCAGCAAAGATCGCTTCAGGAGCTTATCGGCGTCGCGCCACAGTTGGCGAATTGCGGGATCATCCTTCGCCCCTAAGCTCAACTTGCGAGC